CTCTGGACTGCTAGGTGACCTCTGCAGTCTACCAAACCCACACACCTTGGGAAAGGTAAGGTGCACAGGAAGGGCACCTAATTCCCATCAAAGCAACTTGCTCTTTGCTACCACTCAGCTGTTTTCTAATCAGCTGAGGAGGAGTGGGGAACAGGAAAGACTTAAGGGAGATTTAAAACCCGCTGTGCAATTCCTGCACTTAGCTGCTCAGGAAGCAGCTGAGCAGTGGCAAATAGCAAGCTTCTTCAGCAGGTCCTGAAGGAATATTGTCTATAACTCTTTCTTTGTGCACAGAAAAGAAATGGGGAAGGGGGGGACAGAGAAAGAGGAGTGATTTACTGCATGCGTCTACACGCATGTAAGTATATGTGTGTGCATGTCCCTGAACCCACTGTTGCCTTTGTCTCTATTTACTGGAGGCAAGAAGGTAGGTTGCAGGAAGGTGCCTCCCATAAGCCTCCCTACAAGTAAACCTAGCCCTCAGGCTCAGAAAGATTCCCACACCCACATTAAAGACTAGAGCCGAGAGCAAACATACCAATAAAGTTTAGGACCAAATTAGATTATGCAGTGGTGTCTTGTGCTTTGAACTTAATTCGTTTCAGGAGGTGTTTCAAACTCTGAATCATTTGAAGTCCAAAACAATGTTCCCCATTAGAAATACTGGAAAGTGAATTAATCCATTCCCAGATCCTGAACAATACCTAGCTCAACAAACTTAAACAGCAAATACAAATATGTAGGGGTTATATATATAACCAAAAACTAAAGTGAGAAAAGCCACTAAAAATGCTCGAAAAGGCATGCACTGAAAAGGCACTGAAAATGTGGGTGCAGCACAAATGACATTTCTGCAGTGATCACATTTTTTCACTGTGCATGCTGTCTGAACACAGAAGCATCATTCAAACTTCAGAATGATTTTATCTCAATTTTAGCATTTGAACTCTGGAATGTTCAAACTTAGGGTTGTTCGAAGTACGAAGCAACGCTGTACTTTAACCCAGCCTTCCTCTACTTGGTATCTTCCCAATGTCTTAGTCTGACGCTCCCAGACCTTCACGTCCAGTGACCATGCTGCCTGGAAATTATGGGAGTTGCAGTCCATCACATCTGGAAGGCGCCAGGTTAGGGCTAACGGCCTGATTATTTATGCATCTAACATTTCAGATTTCTAAAAAGTTACATAGCAACTTTGTGTGTGCTGAGGGTGAGGACAGTGATAAAAATCAGGCACAAACTATGGGAAGGAAGCTTTAATACTCTCCCTCTGCACTGTAGTGTCAGTAAAAAGCTCCCTCCCTGCCATTTTCCACACGCAGCCCCACTTTGTGGGCATGCTTCCATTTTGGTGCCTTCTCTCAGCTGAACAGGCTCTAGTCTACGAATGCTGCTTATGCTACAACAAATCTGTTCATCTACAAAGTGGCAAAAGACTGTTGTTTTTATAGGCAGAATTCTGCGTATAGGACTATAGCCTGTGAACTTGGAACAAGCAGCACATCAGCATTTACAGAACTTCAATAAAATCCTGTTGCACTAACACCAGATGGCTGAAGGCCGACATCTTTCTGCCCCTGCCCTTGAAAGAATTAATGCCATTGGACCCCTTCTGCAGTGAGGAGGAGGGGTTAACCCACAGTGCAGAATGCCCTCTTGAAGATACAGGAGAAAGATTTTTAAAAACCAACATCTGTTGCACCCATTCAGAAAACCAAGGAAGCATGAGCAAAGTAAAATTTATTCTTGGCATATGGCCATCACAGACTCTCTTTCTGGAGTGGGGAAAAGGTAGTCCCAGCATTCCTGATGACTGACTCTGCTGGTGGAATTTCTAGGAATTGATGCTCCAAGAATTTGGAGAAAGACTTGCTGTTACCCTCACTGTAGATGACTAGTTTTCCTTAGGGCTGCATGGATATTGTGGTGACTGGAGTTAAATGGCTATCCATGACCATTCACTATTAAACTAAAGGTTTTGCCAGAAATGAACTGGAATTGCATATATCCTCCAGCTACCACTGCAAAATGGCCTAATTCATAGGAAGCTGGCTGGAGGAGAAGGGAAGCCTGTGGAGAAGGCCTTGAATAATAGGTTTAGAAAGACAGTTCTGAGAAAGCAAATACTCCATCCCAATCAGATGCCTAAATTTTCAAAGGAAAATAAAAGAGCAGGTGTTGACTCTCCAGAGATTGTCATGTTTCACTCCATATTCTTGTGATACTGACAGATCACATTTCCTGCTAATCTCTTCTTCACAACTAAAGGGCTAACAGAATATCAACTGCAACAACTGGCAGGCATGTGGGCCCTACAGGTGGAACCTGTCATTTATAAATAAGATAAAGGGAGACTGGGCTGATGTTTCAAACAGCCTTGAAAATTTTTGAGGTGCCTGCAAGAATCCTTGCAAACCAGTTGTTACATTTATGGCTTTATTTCTACACTGGGGCTATTGGGGTATGTTCACATCCAATAGCCTCCTTGTGAAATGAGGTATTTCACACCCATTAAGCCAATCCAAACCTAAATCTGAGGTCACTTGAGGTGTCATTAGAAGTGATGCTTCAGAGTCAAGGCAATGACAAGCCAGTAACAGGCAGAAGGATGAGCATAAGAACAAAATTAATGGGATTACTGTTGCGCAGGCAAGCAATCTTCAGTGCACAGCAACAACATTTTGGGATGGTCCTTTTACTCCCTGGCTCAAGCTCCAATTATTTAATTTTGCTTGTTCCATTTACTTAGATACAGGAGTACAGCTACCTGATTTTTAAATGGTCAAGCCATTTAAAGTTTCCCTCAACATACCATGACATACTGTTTATACTAATGTTTTCATTATAGTGATGAAGAAACATTTCTTAGAATATTTATTCAAATGTATCTTCTACATGATCAGAAAATCTAATATTGTTGAACCTAGTTTGTAATAAGTCAAAGCACAATGTACCTATTATACTGCCTTTTCGTTAGTAGGATTCTAATTCATAGGATAGACTAACAGAAATTCTTTGAGTGATAATTACAGATGGAAACCTGGATATTCCTTTGCTTAAATGTCCCCCTTTTAAAAGGCATGTTCTTCAGATTTTATCTTTAAAGGCAGCTCAGTGGATCTCTAATAAAATATATCAGGTTGTTACTGTTAAGAAAAACCTGAGGGAGGCTCAGATGACTGCAACAAGAAAGGGGAATTCTGAATGCCAGCTCTTCCACGATGGGGCCTGCCTGACGGCAAGTCTGTTATCCTTTCCGCACCAGGTCAAGACTGCCCTTTCTGCCAAAGCTTTTAATGCCTCTCAATGGCATGGTGACAGCAGCGGTGGTGTTGTATCAGCTGTTTTTAACAAGTCTAGTTAACTTGTTTTAGTTGTTTTGCAGTATAAAATGATGCCTTTAAATAAAGTCATCATATGAAGCTTTGCAGGAACTTTACAAGATGACTTTATTTAATATATATGCTTACTGTATTCTATTATATGCTGCTCAGAGAGCATCAGCTATCGAAGAGTACAGAAGTGAAAACAACATCATCATCATCAACAACAGGAAGTACCACACAGAGAAGAAATTTTCTTTTCACAGAAAAGAAAATAGTAAGGGTATATCTTCCTACCACAAAGTGAGTAGTAAAACACTATGACAATTATAAATTATAAAAGGTCTTGCATTTATCCTGAAATATAAATATACTCAGTATACAAGGACACTAAGAATGCCATATAAATTTAGTTGAGATATTAAGATTAACCTTTAAGCTTAGTTTTAGATCACCCTGTAGTGTTCAGAAAATCGATTTGAGATCAGATTAAATAGAGGATTTGCTAACGTCATACCAGTGAAAGCAACAGAAAACTGTTAACATAGCAAGAGTATATACTTGCCTACTGTAGCTTTTATATAAGCTACAGTATAAGCTTTTTGAATGCTTATACTTAACCAACATAGATTATTTATTTATTTGGGATATTTCTAGGCCATTCAATCACTCTGCGTCTCTGGACGGATCACAACAAGATCAATAAATACAACAATATAAATATAAATATCATAAATACCCCAAACAATAATAAACAACTCAACTCAACTCACTGGCTTCCCATCCAAGTCCGGGCTCAATTCAAGGTGCTGGTTATTACCTATAAAGCCCTTAACGGCTTGGGACCTGGATACCTAAAGGAATGTCTTCTTCTGTATTTGCCCTCCCATCCCTTGAGATCGGCAGTAGAGGCACTCCTCCGGGAACCCTCCGTGAAAGACATTAGGAGGCAAAGTACCTGGAGGAGGGCCTTCTCTGCGGTGGCACCCTGCCTATGGAATGCGCTCCCCAGAGAGGTCCGCCTGGTGCCGTCATTATTTGTTTTTCGGCGCCAGACTAAGACCTTTTTATTTCAACAATATTTTAACAATTTTTAATATCAGCTCATAGGTTTTAATCTGCAAACAGGGTGGATCTGGATTTTATATGTATTATGTTTTGTTTTGTTTTATGTAAGCCGTCCCGAGGCTACGCAATGGGATGGCATACAAATACTCTAAATAAAGAAATAAATATTAAACATTAAAATATTGGGTGAATAAAAAGGTCTTGACTTGGTGCCAAAAAGCATCTCTATTTTATAAGAGATTCATATTTAGATCCCTCTACTCTAGTTCATTTTTATAGTTTTAGCAAGTTACATAAACTTACTATGTTTCTTCCATCAGTAGATACATGGAGCTTGCTAAATATCATAATGAGAGCACTCCTGCTCTTTGGGGTCCTTGCTTTTCCTTAGAACACACTGACAAGTGGCACATTACTACAAAGGTAAGAACAGACTTGAAGACTTCCAGTATACCTCATCTTCTCCCTTTCACAAGACGCTCCAGCCCTCATGAGATTTTTAGGAATCTGCATTTTTTCCTTGCCTCAGTTTATATTTTGCAGAGCTGATAGAATTAGAGTTACAGAAGGAAAATAGTTGGACAGCAAGAGCTGTTAGGTTGCTGTTACCTTAAGCTGGCCCTCCCTCCACTGGCTTTTTCTTTCTTTGCCCTACAATTGTTTCAATCACTTTGCTTCGGCTGGACAAAGGTCTAGTTCTGGCAAATATAACCTGGGAGCCAGTTTCCAAAAGACCTGGAAAATGGAAAAAAAAAGGCTTAGCCTGAGGCAGCTCCCTCTACTTTTTTGCCATCCACCCATTCCGGAAGGGCAACAAGAATGCCTCAAGCAACCAAAAACCAACTCCAATGCATAGTGCATTTCCAAACAGGGCTTCAATATACTTAACAACATGACAGAAAAGTGCAATTTGGCCTGAAGATGCTCTACACTAGTGTTTAAGCTCTCAAGGCTGAGAAATGCAGCTCCAGCACAAGTGTGGATTCAGCACAAGCAAATGTGGAAGTGAAAACAATTTTCTCTTTTTTGGGGGGTGGAGGTGGAAATGGTAATGTCTATTTTTATTGCTCCTTGGTCAAACAGATGTCTGGTACAAATCCCAGAGCTCTTTCCTAAGAATGTAAGCAAGGACTATCCCTTTTCCAAAGCATGGAGTAGATAGGCCTTCTTTCCTTAATGGATTTCTTCTGCACAACTTCTAAAATCTGTTGTATATCAACAAATACAGCTTCTAAATTTTCTTGTATTTGCTGTTCTACCTGTATGTTGGGAAGCAATGAATACTTATTTTCCTTGTGTTTTCCATGTCATATCATATGCAATAAGGCTATGGATGCAAAGTGACCTATTCAAGGACAGATAGGGGTATAAGGAATATGTGAAACAAAAAAAGTGTTTTGTTCTCGCAGATCTTGACTGCAGAGCTCCAGTTTGCTCACCTGCAGAGTTGGTGAGTGGCTCACAGGACGCAGCACCATTAAGGCTCTTCTGGAATCCATTCAGGTGCCTTTCTGTGGAGATTGCTCTGCCAGACAAAACAGTGAATCAGAAGAGAGCACCAAACATGGAGAATTTATGTTTGAGAAGAAACACAGTTCTAGCATGTAAAACCATTCTAGTATGCAGAAACAGAAGCATTAAAGTTCTTTCCAGACAATTTATTTTCCTAATGTGCCACCATTAGGAACTTACAAAGCTGCCTCATATCAGATAAGACTATTTCATCCATCCAGTCTACCTTCCCCAAGCAAATGCTCTTCAAACATGTAGGACTACAACTCCCATAATCTCCAATGGACCAGGGGTGATGTAAGTTGTAGTCCAGCACTCCTTGAAGGGGACAGGTTGAGAAACGCTGATGCAGTGCCTCTTTATCTACTATTGTTAGGCAAAGACCTTTCACATATTCATGACAGAATACTTTTTTGTTTTTTATTATTTTCTTAACATAAACAGAGTACAAAAAGAGGAAAGGTATATGTAAAATAAAGTAAGATAGCATAGGGTTGCCAAGGGATTTTAAAGAAGTACAACCAATACATTCAAACCCACAAATTTATCTATCTTTCCATTATTCAGCACTCTATGGGTGTTTGGAAAAGTTATTATTCTGTACACCAGCAAATTTTGCAATTACTTTAACTCAGTTATAGATCTTCAACTACTTTTTAAAGAAATCCATTTTACAAGCTATTAATTGTACTGGTTATAACAGAATTTCCATTTGTCATTAAAGTCTTCAACTGGTCTTCTGTTTACATAATTAGTTAATCTTGTCATCATTGTGTATTCTGCCAACTTATTTTTCCATTCTTCAATTGTTGAGGGTTCTGGTGATTTCCATTTAGAAGCAATTGTAATTCTTGCTGCAGTTGTCATATATTTAAATAACTCTTACATATTCTTTGAAAAAGTATCTGGCATTATATTCAAAAGTATATTCTTAGGACTCATAGGAAACTTAGTTTTAACTTTCTTGTATTTCTGCATGTATCAATTTCCAAAATCTTTTCATTATTTCACACATGAGAGAATACTTCTGTGTTGTAAGCAATCCAGATGTTCTTCCTCAAAGAAGAGCTCCTGTTGCAGGGATGGCTCATTTTACCAGGACTCTGTTCAGTGACTAATCAAAGACATCCTGCAGAGTAAGGGGGAGGGGCAACACTATACTTATACATATTGAAAAGAATGCTAGATGCATCAATTCAGTTCTTGTCAATCAGAAAGAGAAAATGATTATAATCTTTGGAAGACTATGCATTAAGGACTGACAGCAATCACGGAGCTTACCTGGTTATATGCTGGAAATGTTTGTCTTACTGAGAAGCTGAGTTCAGCTACAAGGAAAATAAACAACAACCCTACTCAAACTGCACCCAAGTAGGCTGCTAAGAGTTCTCAAAACCACAATGGGATTAGAAGTACACAGGGAGTAAATGCTGCCAGTTTTTTTTCTTCCTAGGAAATACACACTTCAACAATGAAATCAGCACCTCTTCATAAATAACCATGAAGTAACAGACTTTATTCCATCTTTGTTTCACTTTCCTCAACTGTCTAGCACATATTCTCTCTAATTTTCTTTTATCCAATATGCCAGAGTTTCCAGTCTCTTATACCTGCATCAGTTACAATATATCAATGCTGTCCTTTCATTTAATCTTCAATCACATTGAACAGGAGACCACATATAGAATACCAAAGCTGTCCTTCCATAATTAAAATCCTCTGTTAAATTACCACTATTCTGCCAGTTAAAACTGGCCACAAGGCTATCTGGCCCAACCATTCACTGCAAGGTACAAATTAACCTACCCACCAACTGCAAATTTCTTGTAGGATGGTTCCCATGGAAAACAGTGTAACAGACAACACAAACAAGTAAACCAAGCTGTGTTTTGCAGGGGAAAGGGTCAATACCCAGGGTCATAAAAAGATGAACTGAGTTCTGCCCGATCAGTGCAATATCTAATTGAGCATCTGGCTTAAAACGGTGGGCCACCAGATGCCTCAGAGAAGGTTACAAATAGGACACGAAGACAAGGGCTCTCTGATTTTTCACTATCAGGGCTAACAGACTAATTCCTGAAGTATACCTCTATCAATGGCAAATATTATAAAATAAATCATGAGTCAACCATGGTGTTATGACTACTCCTTTAGATGACTGCATTTCTGGACTATTTTTTAAAATTTCCTGTGATGGCCTCCATGTTATACCTTAATAAGCAACTCATGCAAGTGTGTCCTTTCTCAATAGATTAACAAAAGTCTTTTCATTTTCTTAAGTCAGCAAAACTGCCAATAATCTAAGTGTTCTCAAATGCAGTATACTCAATGTGGAATTCTTGATTTGTTCTCTGATGAAGTTCATTATAGTTACTTCTCAGTAAAGACAAAATTGTGTTGTTAAAATGGCATACTGGCTTCCATTGATGGTTCAAGCCAATTCTGTCTGCAGTGATTCCTAAAGTTAAAACTGGTGGATAAGCTTGCATTGCTGCAAATAGCTCACCTAGGGGATTTTTTGGAGAATATTAGCTGGTTATTCACAACTTATTACATTTAATCTTTTGCCTTTTCACTAATGCGACCAAGGCAACATATATGATTCTTCCTTGAAATTGACAAGAGCGGCAAAATATTTGCTGCTCTGATGAAGCACCTCCCAGCAAGTGCCAGCGACAGCTGCCTGCAACATTCCCAGGATTGACTTGGAGGTGACTGTCACCAGTGTCCTAACAAGCAAACCCTCTCCGCTGTGATTGCGCCCATTAGGCAGCTGCTTGTGGCAGCAAAGAGGAGGCCCCTGCTGCCGCCCATCAGCCTGCTTGTGAATAGAGTCTACTGAAGCAACAGGTGGTCCCCCATTCCTCTGCTTCCTAGTGCCACTGTCAAGCTGAGGGGAGGGGAACCTCAGTGCTTGCACACTGCTATACCTGTGAGAGGGGTGGGGAGGAGGGGCACCCTACCCCCAATGTGCCTGACCATCCCGTTGGACGCATCAGGGATATTGTTGCTTATAAGACACACTGCATAGCTTTCTGTCAACCTCTCCATGCTTGTACCAAGGTGATCCAAGCAGCTACATGGCTTGGAGCTGTTCTTCCCCGTAGTGTTACAGAACTTAGAAAGGAAATATGTGTGATTTGGGCCCCTGGGAGCCTCCTTCAGCACAGGAAGGTCAGGGGCCTAAGTGGTAATGATGCTGAGCTCAGGGGCAGAGGCTGGGGCTGGGACAGTGGCATGTGCTCATGTGGGTGCATTCTCACACTCACTCTCTATGAATGTGAATAGGCTTAATACCTAGATAGGGCTAGTGGTGTCGGAAAAATCTGGAGGTGTGAAAGCTGTGACTTCTCCAAATGCATTAAGTATGTGAACATAGAAGGAGAACAGAGGTCAGCTCAGGTACTCTTGCAACATCAAAATGGTCAGTTGTGAGCCTGATAAATCTGAGTAATATGTAAATATTGTATATGAATCTCTATATAATTTCCTTATTAATTTGTTAAAGGTGGCAAACCAAATTTAAAAATACATGCATTAGACTGGTGTAGACAAGCTTTTTAGGTCTGTGTCTACATATGGCAATTTGGGAAACTATTCTGGGCACCACCCATAAAAATAGATGCCATGGGAGGGATGTTGTTGTTGTTGTTAGTCGCGAAGTCGTGTCCAACCCATCGCGACCCCATGGACAACATTCCTCCAGGCCTTCCTGTCCTCCACCATCCCCCGGAGTCCACTTACGGGAGGGATAGCAAGGGACAAATAACTGTTAAAAATTGAGTATGAAGCAGAAGAAGCAGGTTAGAGTTCTAATACACTAAACAATTCATTTGAACCCATAGTTTTCCGCATGAACACAAACTGCACACAATTGCAGTTCTGAAAAGGACAATGCTTTTTCAAAATAAAGTGGGATGTGTAGGGCAGCTTTGTAACACCAAGAAAAGGATATGGGTACCCATGGGACATACTACCTACACCTGCACTAGACACTGGGAATACTCCAGCCCAGAAAAAAAAGTAACATTTTAAGCCAGACAAGTGAAATATCTGACATATATAACAGAGATTGGGGATAGAAAAAGGATGTATGTGTCAAATTACTTTAATGATAACAGGATTAATGTTGTTAGATATGGGAACATTATCTTTGCAATTTTGCAGATTTAATGAGAAGTTCATTATAATATAGTAGTTCATTAATTTCCATTTTAAGCAAATTATTTAAGATATATTTAAGAAAGGTTACAGACTAAACTCTCAGAATGTTTACACATTCTGTTGGTCAAATCATGTTCAACTCTTCAGACATAACTTGGACATAGGTTGACCGTTTTTCTTTTTCCTTCAAAAAATTAAAATCTAAAATAGTTCTGAGATACTTTGACAACAAGAAAGTATCACATTCATGCACGCTGCCAAATTATGAACGAAACTGCATCTCTCTACTAATATCTTCCAGCATAGTTCTCTAGCTCTTTTTCAGCCTAATATGTCACTATATTTAGAATTATAGTTTTACACATATGACTTCAATATATTCTTCTATTTCTGACCTCTCAGCTTGGACCAATTTAATATTCCCAAATTCCAAGTACTCTTTAGAAGTCATGCTGGCAACTAAATGTATACTTTCCAATGGAGTTGCTGACCTTTCACTTGATCACAGGTCACTGTCTAATTCTTTGTTTGTTGAAAACAGAATGTTTCCTAATTTCCAGATGTCTTCTCTCTCTTTAATTCTCCTCTTCCCTCACACAATTAGTCTTTTGCTATTTTTACTGTTCTTTATCACCTTGCATTCATCACTGATTTTTTCATCTACTTAAATTTATGTTCATGGCTAGGTCCCATGTGAATAATGTTCTTCAAATATTATCAGTTGCCTTCACCACATTATACATACCTTGTTTAGTGCCCAGGCAAGTTACATCTACATGGGGAACAACAAGTAAAATTGGGAAATAAATTTGTTAGATTTTCAGTTTCTTTGTTGAAAATCAGTTCTGT